GCGGGGTGGCGCTTTACGGCAGCGCTCTGTGGCGCTTTACGGGTGGCGGCGGTCCGCGTGCTGTCGGGCCGCAGCAGGCATAGATAGGTATGTGCTAGCTTAAAGCCTCCACTCTCGTGAGGTATGCGAGGAAAGGTCTTATTTTTCCAGCCGGAAATAACACCGGAGAAGATTCTGGAAATCGCTGTGTGCTGCCCGGTTTTGGATATACGCTACCCCTACGATGAGTGAGATCCCAGCACAACTGCGCACCCGGCTGCTGAGCAAACGCGGCCGAGACAGACCCCCTGCCCATAGCTGCCGTACAAGTGCCGGAACGCTAGGGCTGGGCAGCCCGCGCTCAGGGGGTCTGAGCCTTGTTTACTGATGATACTCTGAACAGTGCGAGTGCCTTTAAGGCTATCTGGAAAACCTTAAACCAACATACAGTAAGAAGAGTTGTCCATCACTAATAGTACACACGTAGTCATTTATATTTATATGAATGTAAACATTTGTATTTATATGAAACTGTGACTAGAAAGTAGAGGTTATGTGGCTTCAGTGTGTGGCTTAAAGCAGAGATCTGCTTTACTACGAGGATAAACACATACAGAGAACAGACTGTGACTGAACATCAGCATGAACAGCTGGCTACATCACTGATTTCAAATTCTTGTAGCCTTACTTGCACACTATAATTTTAGAGTTGTGTATCTGAATAAAGGAAAATGCTGGGAAACTTACCTGAAAACTTCCTAGAGAACATTCACTTTCCTATTCTACAGTGATTTGGCTTTATTCCTGCCAAGACATTTATTGCCAAAATGGCAGTCCCGGTCAAGTCAGAGACATTGCTTGTGAATAACACAGGAACTGAGCCAAAAATTACAATGTAGAGTTGTGCGTGTGGTTTTTTTTTTTTTTTTGGTAAATAAAATGCTGAATGAATTTTCCAATTGAGTTGGATGAAAAGTTACTTGGCTATCCGTTTCACATAACTAAGAATTCTAGAGGGCTGCAATGCAGGAAAATATTTAAACCTCTACACTTAATTTAAAATACAAGGCATTATGTGTATGAATTAGCAGGCTTTGCAGGAGACTGGCATTGGTGTCTTACTGATGATACTATTTTCTTGTGTATAACTTGGGAGAGTCACAATGGAAGAAAGAGAAAGAAAAATATCAGAAGAATTTGCTTTACAGGGGCTGAAGGATATAGTCATTCTGAAGTACTGTTTTATATGCAGCTTGCATGGATATAGTTTGGAGGAGGTTTTTAGGAGTCATTCTTAGATTTCATTCCCCACTGCAGTTAACAGGACTGCCTGCTGCCCCTTCACCTGCCAAATGTGCAGCACTTGCTGCACTCATGGTGCACCTCTGCCACTTGGAGAGGAGCAGCAGTGTTGGAAGGGGCTGTATTTCCATGCCTTGCCTCCTTAATGAGGAATATCTTTATCAAGAAAGAAGAAAGCAAAGATAGCAAAGAAAACAAAACAACACCACAACACCTAGAACAGAACAAACAGGCACCTGGAAAGGATATGCTTGAAGTAAACACCTAGCATAAACCATTAGAGATTGTCCTGAAGAGGCCTTGGACGGGTAATATCAACCAAGGAGCACGGCACTGCGACAGCGGTGCTGTGGTACAAGGCTAAGTTACTGCCCAGGAAGGTACTACTGAGGAAACTAAGACTGATGGCAAAGGCATATCAAACAGGCTGGATCCTCAGTGCTGGACCACCACAGAGTACACCTTCTCGGGGTGAGTTACTTCTGCATGGAAACTTCTACATGTGATGTACTAGTGGCATCACTTTTCCCTTCTGCTTTTCCTGATCTGATCAGCATACAGATAGCAGTAGCAGTTAAGTCATCAGTTTCTATAACAGCGTTATATAATTTTTAATATTCATTTGTATTAGTTCTGTAGTGCTTTACACAACACTTTATGTGCTATTTGGATGACCGAGCCTGTACAATCAACAGGGAGATAGGTGTTAGGGTCATCTGGATCTCGAGTAACTATGTGTAATTTAGAATGTAATAAACTACAAAAGTAATTCAAATTATTATTTTAAAATAAGGTTGTACTTGCCAGCCATGAATTTATATTGTCATTAGGCTGCTTCTACCCTGACTGGGAAACTCTGGGGGTCGCTCATCGCTGTGGCACTGGTTAGCCCATGGAGTTTCATGGCAACTTCACACCTTCCTACTTCACTCTATCCTCCTTTGGGGTGGGGGGGAAAGAAAAATTTGATTTAACGGGATCGGTATTGGTACAGATCAACGAAGTGCCTTATTCATCCTTTATCCTGTGACAATCATGAGTTCCCGGGAAAAGGAGAAATATTAACTCGCAGCTGGAGCATTTCTGGCAGCGCAGCGGCCTAGCAAAGGCCGGTCCGGGCAGGGGCGCAGGCCGCCGCCCGGCGGAGCCTGAGGCCGCGCC